CTCTCCTCTCCTCTCCTCTCCTCTCCTCTCCTCTCCTCTCCTCTCCATCTCTCCCCCCCTTTCTCCACCTCTCTCTCCCTTTCTCCACCTCTCTCTCTCTAACAAAGTGCAACTTTTAATTGGTTTATCTTTTTACAAACATTTCGATGCTCCAGTCGTTTAATCGTAATACATACAATGCTTACAATAATTTTATTAGCAAAAAGAAAAAAGAAACAGAAATTAATATGTAAACTTATTGTACAAAATAAAGATATCGCGAGGAAACACGGATACATTATGATTACAATACTTGATAACCTGGGTCGATCCTATCTTTTAACATCCTATATATATATATATAGAATGCACATGTGTTTATGGTTTTGCATGTTCATTGTGTGTATATATATAATTTTTTTTGTTTTATATATATACATAATATATATATATAATATTTTTTATAAAGATTCAAGACTAAAAATCAATGTATAAGAATAGCATGTATTCGATATAATATATGCTCACATGAACAAAACTATTTCGATTAGAGTCTGTGTATATTTTTATTTATATATATATAATATGTATAATTAATAATAATAATCGTGTACACCACAATACATTTATTCTTCTCTTAATATAATAACTAAAAGGTACACGCATTTCTCCCATCTTTTTTTTTTATTTATCTTTCTATTATACTTCAAATAGATAAATTTTCATTTTTCCAAAATCTATTTCTTTATCGCTTCAAAACGCATGTACACCACATTCATCATCTTATAAATCGTCTTTCTGAGGCACATTTTCTATGAGTAATTTTCACGAATCGAATTTTTATTAAATATTTTTATGTTTTTTCACAAAATCGTTCATTTGCTTTACATTTTCCCTCATTCTTTGTTTTATTTCTTTTTCTTTCTTTTCTTCATCCAAGAAAGATCAATGTTAGAGCGAGGGTTAATAAAAAAGTCGAAAGAATTTCGACGACTTTTATGTTTCGTTAGTTTTTCATTTTTACACAAGTGATCACAGATAATGCGAAAAAAGAAAAATTAATTAAAGTTAGGAACACGCCATATTGAATCTTGTACGGGTTCATTAAAATATCTAAATATTTCTAATCTAAATAATTTAATATCTAAACATTAATTTTAAATTGTTATACTAATTGTAAAATATTAAACTAATTTTAAATTATTATACTACTTTTAAATTATTTACTATAATTTTTTATACTAATTTATCTTTATATCTAAAATTTTATATTATAAAATAAAGTTACATGGCTATAAAGAAATATTTAGTTTTGCTATCTAGTTTTATACTATTCACATAACCTTAATATCTAATTGACATTATCTAAAATGCTAAATAAATTAATTAATAATAAAATTTAAACACTTTTTCGTTAATATCAATGATAAAGTATTATTAAAATATTTAAATAAATATTAATAATAAAAATAGAATCGCTTATATGAACTCATACAAAATTCCAACGGTTCCCAAGCAAAGTCCTGGAAATAGGAATGACGCAATGTATGTTACCCGAATCAATTCGAGCGTCGAAGGCAGCCAACGTTGCAACATTACGTGAAATGCATACACATATATATATATATATATATATATATATATATAGGAGAAATATGAAAAGAAGATGATGCAAATTTTATCTATTCCACGGTAATAGTAGTTAACCTCTTGGGCCGCTTTCCTGCCTTCTGTTTTCGATGGATCTCTCTGAAATCTACATGAGTTGTTTCACAGGGCTCTAACACCGATAATTCATCTTCATTTATAGTCTGTTCTTCTAATTTTCTTTTTCTAGACCTGGTCACTGGACCAGTCCTATTTTTATAAATTTCTGTATATTGGACGTTTTGTTTTTTATATTTTTTTGATTTTGTTTCCTCATTTTCATCTCGCTTATGTCGTTTTTTAGATGGTTCTTGATGTATAATCCTCGGTGAATTTGAATCGGAAGAGGAGGATAAGGAACTGAGATATTCATTTACTTTGTCTTCACCGAAATCAAAAGCGTTCGGTTGGGCTGGTGAAACGGATGTTGCAACGTTAGTAGCGTTACTAGGTGGTCGAAGGAGCTGTACAGAGGGACTCGATGATGTTGTAGAAGCAGATGACGATACAGAACTAGAAGTGGAACGCTTGTGTAGCTTCCTGCGCTGTGCAAGCCTTGCACCATCTACTTCACGCAATCGGAAGCCTTCTGGTTTCTCCAGCAAAGCATTCGAATTATCCAATACAGTTACGTCATATGAATTAGCCACGTCGAATGAATTTGATTCCTGTAACCAAGGATGATTTGCCAGTTCGCTGGCTGTCAGTCTTTCGCTCGGGTCCACGGTTAACAAGCCTTTGGCAACTTGTTTAGCAAGGTTAGACACGTGATTCCAAGATTCACTATCGAAATCAATTTCACCTGCTCTGATTCTAGTTGCTAAATCTAGAGAGCCTGATCTAAATGGCGGTTTTCCAGACAAGATTGAATATAAAATAGCGCCTAAACTCCAGAGATCACAGCTTTGATCATAGCCTTGTCTAGCAATTACTTCTGGAGCTGCATATGGGAGAGTGAAACAGGGTGTATGTAGAGGCTCGCAGCCACGTTTTATCCTGGCAAAACCAAAATCTACAATCTTTACTGGCGAATCCTCTGCCTCATGGGCAAATACTATATTCTCTGGTTTCAAATCACGATGAACTACACCTCTGGAGTGCATGAATTGAACCGCGGAAGCTAACTGTCGCATTATTCTACTAGCTTGCTGATCACTGAAGGGTCTTGGCCTTCTCAATAATTCTCCTCCATATAACAGTTCCATTATCAAGTACGTGTGCGCTCTGTCCTGATGAACTTCGATTAATTTGACTATATTTGGGTGACCTTGACAACTTCTTAACAAACTTGCTTCTCTTCCACAGTCGATCCTGCGACTAACAATCTTTACAGCGAATATTTCCATCGTTTTCCTATGTCTACATTTGCGACAAACTGAAAAACTACCATCTCCTAAGGCTTCTTCTCGAAGGTCTATCTCGTAACTCTGAAAAAATGTGGACTCCTCGAACCTGGCTGCCAATACATCCGATGTTGACGGTCTTTGAGACTCTGTATTGATTTTCGTGGCTTCCTTGAAAATATCTTTACTAACTGCATTTTCTCCAAACAATATAGATGGTGCCACGTAGGAATAACCTCTAAAAATTTTGTCATAATTGGGCGGAACTACGGCTGGGCTATCAGCTGCGATCATTTTTGTAAATTCATCCGAGAAATTACTGGTGTCTAGTTCATGGGCGATTTGAGGAACAAACGGAGGAGGAATTTCACGTTTTTCGAGAGCTTCCCAGCTGAACGATGATGGCGCTTTTTTGAAGAAAGGATGCTCCTTCAATTCTTTGGCGTCTCCTGGCCCTCCACCGAGTCGTTGTCGTGGATCTTTGACGAGAAGACGAAGAATAAAATCTCGAACAATTGGGCTGAGATGGCTGGGAATAGGAGGATCTGTTTTCAGTATTCGACGCGAGATGTCCTGTTGCGTATTCTTCTCGCCTTCGACCGTAAAAGGCGAGGCGCCAGTCAGCAGCTCATAAGTGAGTACGCCTACACTCCACCAGTCCACTGCCTGGAAATCGAATTGTTAGATTATTAGAATAGAATATTTCGTGGCCAGGTTATTCCTGGAATTTTGAAATCATTAAATGAACGGTTGATAAATTAAAGATGATTTAAACTTTGGATATTTTTTTTTGTGAAGGTATAAAGATGAAGATTTATGATTAAGAATTTAGGAATTTCATGATAGACGATTCATTTGAATAAAAATACGTATATTATGTACACTATTTTTTAATCTTCTTAAGTATAATCAAAAATATATATATATATCAAAATATATATTATTCGTTATATATAATATAACGTATAAAAAAATTCTTTTACAAAATATTATAAGAAGTTTAAATTTTAAATTAAGAAATGTTCTATACGAAACAAGAAGAGAAATTACGGTTACGAGAAAAATCACAAAAGAAAGAAAAATTTTTCTTCAAGTAAGGAAAAAAGAAAAATTTTCTTCAAGGAAAAATGAATCGATAAAAATGTATCTGACAAGCGGGTAACACGGGCGTGATAACGAAGTTCCAGGAATGAAGGGAACAAATCGTGACGTAAATTCATCCTGACTCACAATATCGTGGCCCGCCGAGCCCCCTCGTACCACTTCCGGTGCCATGTACTCGATAGTTCCGCAAAAGGAGTAAGCACGGGCGTTGCTGTCCCTTTCGTGCGGCAGGAACTCTTTGCTTAATCCAAAATCTGTTAACACGATATGACCCTCTTTGTCTAACAGAATGTTCTCCAGTTTAATGTCTCTGTAAATTATACCCAGCTGCAACAGAGAAAGCAACATTGTAGGTTTCACCGATCAGTATATGCGATAAAAATGGAATATTTTAATAATTTATCGCACAACGAGTAATACTTGAAACAAAGTGCATACAAAATTATAAGCTTGAGACTGTTATTTTTTTTTTTTGTACATAATTTATAGAAAAATATCTGGCGTAAACAGTATGCGTAAGAAAACATTTAAAAATTTATAATCTCGCTACTTTTTTTTTATTATTTTATAATTTTTTTTATTTTAAATTTTTATGTGACATTAAAGTTATTAAAATGTCTAATCTATATGTGCATCATATTGAAGTTCAAAAAATTATAAGTTCAATCTATAGCAGCATATCAGACTTCCTAATTATAGATCTAATTTGTATAGCATATTAAGATCAATTTCTTCTCCCCTAAATTCTTCAATTATTCTTCAATTATAGACTCTCTAAGTTATATGCCATATGCCAGTAGATTCAATCTATACACCATATAGAGTTCTTAAATCATAAGATTCATCTATAATCGCATATTATTATCTATGTATTAGAGTTCTTTCATTAGAAATTAAAATATACCATATTAAAGTCTATAAATCAGATATTTACTTTATAAAATTATTAAAGAGAATTCTTATTATTAATATTATTATTAAAATTAATATTATTATTAAAGAGAATTCTTAAAAATTTTTAAATCAAATCTAATCTAATATATGATATAAAAAAAATAATTTGAAAAAAATATATTTATCTATATACGTCATATTAACTTCTTTAAATCATAAGCCCAATTCTTACGTTACATCAATAATATATGCACATATATATATATCCATTTCAAATTTCAAATTTATATGTCAAGTTTAAATAAAAATCATTAAATATACTCATTATATTGAACAGTTTAAGTTCAAGAATGCGTTTCAAGTAAGTGATGATGAATGAAAGAACGAATTTACTTTATGTAGATGCTCCAGCGCCAAAATAACTTCGCCGATATAGATTCGTACTTCGTCCTCGCTAAAATGTTCCCGTTGATACAGATGCGTAAACAACTCGCCGCCGCTGACATAATCTGCAAGAAAGCAAAGTTCTCGTTTAACCTCGGTCTGGACAATATCCTTCGAAACGCGATTCGAGAAAACTCTGCGTAATGCATTATTCTCGCGAATCATCATCATTGGGTCTCCAAATAAAAAAAAAAAAAAAAAAAAAATATCCGATTGAAGATAGTAGAAGAAGATTTAAAGAATATTGAAAAAGACGAAAAAAAATTATTGTTTTTTTTTTTCAGAATTGGTGTAACGATATTTTTTTTATTTATCACTGGTACTCGTCAACGAGATATTGGACTATGAAATATTCATTGATAAAGCGGCTGCGTGCAGGATTTGGAATTCAATCATGTTCTTTGGCGAATGGAATATATTTGAAGTATTTTTTGAATATTTCACCAATTCTTTCGTGACACTCTTGTGGATTTTCTTTTTTCTTTTATTTAATAAAAAAAATTATTTAAAAAGCAACTTGATTAAATTAACATTGATATGGTAATTGATACTAATATATATGTATAAATATTTTAGCATTTTAATACATAAAAATTAATTTAAATATTTATAATATATTTTTAATATAATATACAAAAATTTACATTTACCAATTAGCAATGTAAACAGCAATATGAATTTTCATAGATAAAAGGACTTTTGGACTTAGATAGATAATAACAAAATTACAATTAGATAAATTCTAAAATAGAAACTTACTCGCCTTATACATTGCGAAAATAAAATAATTCATATATTGCAATATTCTTCTAAAGAGAAATAATTGAGGAAGAAACGAAATCACGAAATGATTATACCTTTCTACGAGGGAGGAAGGTTACACAACGTTACAGAAGACTCAATGATGATGTCACGATTGTATCGTATTTTGACTACCTTAAATATACATTCCTTCTCTTTCTTGGATATTTTTTTTGTCCAATATCAGGTAGTAACACAGATACTATATAATATTGAAGATAAAAAAAATTTATACCTATTTATACATTATATCTATACATAAACAAAAACTTTATGTAAAATATATACTACATCTTGTGGAATTTTTTAAAACTCTGACCATTAGTCATAAAAGGATTCGTTAATTTTTTCGATAAACCATACACATCTATTCTTTTCACGGTAAATATTTTTCGATATTTTAACATCGCTAATTTCTTATTATTTTTTCCATCAAAAATGTATCTTAACATGATATAAACTAAAAGATTAACTGTTTAACTATGAATCAATTAGTGATGAAATTTCAAATACTTATTACTGCTTATTAAACCTTGAAGATTCTACTGTACAATATTGCATATACTCGACACTTTAATTAAACAAGTGAACGATAAAATATATATTTCTCTACAGAGAAACACGATATAATACATAATTTATGAAAAAAAAAGAACTTCTTCTCTAAAAATAATAAAAGTTATTTCCTAAGAAAGAATAAAAGAGTTAAGAGAGATGAAAAAAAAAAAAAAGCATATACATATACTCTTCATAAAATAACATATTTCCTTAACATTATATTTTCAAATGAAATAATGTTATCTTAAATTTCACCTAAAATCAGATGTAACTTTGCGTCCGTTTGAAAGGCATAATGCAATGTAACTAAAAAAGGACTGTCCCGAACGGCCTCCAGAACTTGTCTCTCCGTCTTGGTGTGCTCGGTCGTCTTCTTTCTCTGGACGATGGACGCTTTCTTCAAGACTTTCATGGCGTAGAGTCTGCCTGCATCGGTTCCAGTTCTTTTGCGCACCAGGAACACCTTTCCGTAAGCTACACAAAAGATTTTTTTTTTCTTTTTTTTTTTTTTCTTTGTTTCCCCATTATCGTCTATATCTAATCAAATTGACGGCCGATCATCGTTCACGATCGCTATTCGTCCATACTTCCTTAAAAATATATTCAATTCGAATAAATATATTTTATTATATATGCACATCCCCATGCGTGTTATGGGAAATTCCTCCAAAACTCTTTTTTTTTTTTTTAAGTAGATTTCAGGAAAATGGCTTCTACCGTTGGGAAAATTCAATGCCTTCGTGTAGGTGTAGGATCTTAGATAAATCCTTGTAGATTTTTGGTTCGAATATACGGATGTGAATAAACTGTGGGGGGGATAAAAGAGATAGAAGATAAGAAAAATAAAAACGAACGAAAATATCGTATACAAATGTTGTATACGATAAAGAGAGATTTCTAACTAAAATTTCTAGATTATAAATTAAGACTCTTTTTTTTTTTTTATATATATAAAATGAATATATTGTAATGAAAGCAAAAAAAAAAAAAAATAGTATAATATTTAAATTTTACTATTAGAGATTACGAGTTTAAAATAAATAAATAAATAAATTAATAATTTTCAAATGTTCGATTGTACAGGAGCTGTAAATGAGAAGGAGAATAAATCAATCGTTCCATTATGGATTTAATCGATAACTATAAAGTATTTCGTTCACGTACCTCCGGTTCCAAGGACTTTCAGAAGATCGAAGTGCGTCATGTCAACCCTCTGGCCTCCGCTGTCTGCCAGGTTTACTGTAATCAGCAGGAACACTCGATTTTACTTCCCTCCGTCCAATGACACGTGTTCGATGAATGATAAGATGAATTCCTTGCCAAGATGATGATGTAATGATGACGAAGGTTAAAAGTGGTACAAGGAAGTGGTGAAAAGGCACGTGGGTTTTGAATAGAAATGGAGTCACGATAACACGTGTATATACGTTTCCATTTGGAAAATTGGCTAGGCAATAAAAACTTTACAACTTATAACATATATAACTATGATCTGAAGAGAAACGTGATATTATATTCTATCATTCTAAATCAAGAAGATATTTTATCTCGAGGGACTATAATCAAAGTTTATATTGATATCTTTAAAAGACGTATTGAAAAATATTTAAGCAACAATTTTCTAATCGTTTTCTAATTGTTCTAGGAAATTGGAAGTAGCAACTTTCATCAAAGCTTGGTTATCAAAATAACCAATGGACTTTCTATTTAACTTTAATCCTTTCGATCGTTCTTTCGAACTTTCGTTCGACGTACTTTCGAATAATAAACGATTGATTATCTCGATTAATATCCGGAAATATCACTCCACTCGTACGAAATATGAATGGTTTCGTATAAATTAAAAAGATAAGATCTCTAATCACCTTCGAACAACAATAAGAGAAATATATAAATGGAAACATTATTGATATATATCACGATATTATCATAGATAGAATATAATTTTACTTTTAAAGCGAAAACTTGTAAATTTATACGCGAGTTAAATGGACGGGTTGAAATTTAAAATAAGTCTTTATTCAGCCCAACCAAAACTAGAACTAAACAAGTTAAATTCATGTTGGGATATGGTTATATCATCACCATCGTTTAATGTAAAACTAAAAAATTTAAGAAATTTATTATTATTATTATTATTATTATTATTATTATTATTATTATTACCATTAACAATAATACAATAAATTATTATTACATGTTATACGTATAATAATTACATATACTTAAATTATTACAATTAAATATATATCACATACCATCATCAACGGACTCAATCTTGAAAGACGCTGAAAGAAACGAAAGAAGCAATAGTTAGAAAAAAGCAGTGAGTTTCGTTAACTCCCACGATTAACTTTCTGCTCTAATTAATTCACATTTTCTATTGTGTAAATCAACAAAGTGCGTTAGTTTTATTACAGAACATTAATACCACCACCACTACCATCTCTCTCTCTTTCTCTCTCTCTCTCTCTCTCTCTCTCTCTCTCTCTCTCTCTCTCTCTCTGCATCGTTGCCATTCAATTTAGAAAATAAGATTTCGCTTACGAACAATACGTATTATCCGGTTTATCGGTTTTTAGTTATATTCATCTTTGTTCAACATCTTCTCTCCCCCCCTCCCCTCCCCTCCCTTCCTTTCATTTGAAACTATGTGAAATTATCTTAGGCCAAAGCTCTGTTTCGTAATCGTTTTGTCAAATGTATTTTATTCGACAAGGGGCGAATTCATTTTCGAAATCGAACAGATTTCAAATATTCTATAATATGTAGTTCGAATTCGTTTTATTTCTAATCTTTTTTTTTCAAATGGAAAATGGAAATGGAAATGGAAACGATCGTCATAATGGAAATTAAATTAAAAAATTAAGAAATTAAGGTAATGATGATCATCTCTCATGAAATAAAATTATATAACGTTTGTATATGTTATTTAATAATGTCTCGATTAAATTTCGAAATTTAACTTCATCGCCATTTCGTATTTACTTAGAAACTTGTTGAGACAAGTGCTTGGAATATTGAATTTGGAATATTATATTCCACTATATCTCTCTTGTGTTGTTCATAGTTAAATACCTTGAGATTGTTTATCGAATTTAAATCAATTTTCTAAATTTTTCTAAATCTGGGAAATTTCCAGATTATTCATTATACAATATTTTAAAAAAAAACAAGATGGCTTAAAAACGAGATAAATATTTATTGGATATTTTAAATATTCAATCGCTTTCCCCCGTCCAATATCGAGATCTCGAATGAAAATTACATGTACATAATTGCACGAGATAAACGAAACAAAAAAAGTAGTTTAAACGATGAGAAAAAAAAAAAAAATACCACGACCATCAATCACAACGGCTAAAACAAAGGCAATACGCAAATTAGCAGGATATCGATACTTTCTACATTTTCAAAATGAATTACGCGTTTTTGAATGCAAATTAGGAAAAAACTATTGGAAAAATAGAGGGAGGGGAGGGGGGGGAAGGGGAAGAAGAATAAATTATATATATTATTCATGGAAAAAAAAAAAAAAACTTTGATAAAACTTTGAGGAAAAAATAGCGTGGAGTAATGATGGTATTTCATGACTTTGGAATCGATATCTAGACATCTGTCGTTTCAAAAAAAGACAGGCAAGGTCGGCGAAGGTGATGATTGCAAAATGACGCTTGCACGGTTCCCGGGTTCGATTATCGAATCAGCTCGCTTGCGATCTCGACCTTGCATGCGAAACGAGAAAAAGAAGGAGGGACGATCGATTTAAAATTTCTTCTATCCATTACAATACTTTTTTTTCTTTTTTTCTTTCCATTTATACCACCTTTTTCCCCGCCTTGTCTTCATGGTCTTTATTCTCAACTAACTTTTCAGTCACGCATTCTTCAACCATTACTTGTAAATTATTTTTACAATGAAAAATAGAGAAATCGAAATTCAAAATTCAAAAATCGAAAAAATATTGATTACATCGTAAGTTAATTCCAAGTAAATTTCAAACCGCCAAAAATCGAATCAATTAATAACAATTCTTTTTATTTTTCTGCTTTACAAATCTTCTTTCGAAAATTTCTGAAGAGAAAGAAGAAGAAAATTGTCGCGAGTAAATTCCAGAAAAAAAAAAAAATAAATAGATAAAATAAAATAAAATAAAATCCTCCTCCACGCCCACGGATCGATTCCAAAAAAACTCTGCGAATCTTGGTAGCGCGACGCGTGATTCGCGGAGAGTATTATGAAATCATTTCATAGGGGAAATGACTCTCTGGGGACAAAGCGGAGGGAAAGCAGAGGTAGTGATTCGTCATACGTCTCGGTGTGGCCGGATCGTGAAATATCGCGTGGCACGGCAGTCGCTCAAGGTGGCGTGCGCAAATGTAGATGCACCTGCAGTTAATATCGGCAGGTGTGCGGGCATGCACGCGAATGTACGTAAATACTGATCCGCTAGAATGCAGCTGTGTGTTTTTAAAACGAGACCGCGAATGGAGGAGAACACACGCGGACCGAGCGTAGCCCGGAAGTGTTAGATCGGTGTTCCGTTTAAATCATGGCCGATCTCGAACAGACCGTGACTTGGCTCCAATCGAACCGTGAAATGTGAAACAGCCTGTTGGGAACCGCGAATTTTTTTTTTCTTTTTTTTTTTTTTTTTTGGCCGTGGATGAATATATAAAGTGTTTTCGAAACGGTTTTGAAACTTTTGTTCCCTTCCCCCCTCTCTTCTTTTTTTTTTTTAACACTTGTCTAGTTTTTGGATTTATCGTGTAAATGAAAATTGAAGTTTAATCGTTGCGTTTATAATTTGTTTTGTGCTCGATAGTGCGTGCATGTATCTATGTGAAATTAATTTCAATATTTTTTTTTTTTTTTGGTAAAAATAAAAATTGATGAAAATTTTTCTCACAAAAAAAAAAATGATTCTGTTTTAATAAAGTGCTTCTAAAATGAATTGAGGTTATTTTATGTAATTTAATTAAATCCTGGCATGGATTGTATAGTTCAATCTAGGCGCGAAGTCTAATGTTAGTTTCAAACTTATAAAATTACTAACTGTAACGAAACTGTAAATTGACATAATGTTACAATTGAATGAACAGTTAATGTTAAACTTGAGTAATTATTAAAAAAAAAAAAAAAAAAAGAAAGTCACGAGTTGAAATTAACGAGTTTTTACATTGCATTGACTGTACAAATGTAATTATTGATTATCAAGGAATATTATACATCATGGACGATCATTTTTTATCGTATAAGAATGTTTTTCGTATTATTTTATTATAATCACGAAATTTTTTACATTTTTTTTTTTTTTTAATTTAATATTTCGAGACAAGATTCCGTAACCCACTTACAGAAGAGGATTATATTATTATTCTTACATGATGAGGAATTGCATAATTGAATTATAATTAGAATAGTAGGGCAGAGCAACAAATCAAGAAGTCGGAGAAGAGAACGAAATAAGTAGGGTAAAGTATTCTACTTATACTTTCTTATTTACAATCGATTGTTAAATGGAAATTAATATTCGAGAAAGAGAGTGAATCGTTGAAGGAATTTCTTTAAAAGGGACGTAATAATGTTGTTTTATAATTTCTAGAGCGCGTTTAATGAGTTTTACTAATGACTTTCATGGGTCACCGATGACCTATGCGAGATTCGACTGACCTGACATAATCCACCTACTTTATATTTCCTCTAGTTATTTGGAAAATGACCTTCAATGACTCTTGAATAACCTTTACCAATCCCCTTAAAGGTTAATTCCATCCACTACACGAAGAGAATAGAGTTGAACAGGATTTAGAAGATCAAAAGATTGATTTGTTGAACTGAAGATGATCTTCGATGATTATTGGATATGTTAGAGTTAAAAAAGATTTAAAAAATATTAAAAGGTTAACTTTTTATTGAAGATGATTTTCGATGATTAATATCCTATTCCATTTTTTGTAAAGCTTCATTTCAAGGATCATAAAAAGGATATTTTAAGAGAATGAATATAATTACCAAGTTTGTTAAAAAAATGTATTCAAAAATTGATGAAGTTGACTGATTATTCGATATTTTAAAACTATTACAAAAGAAACAAAAAAAAAGAAAAGAAAAAAAAAGAAGAAGAAGAAAACTGGAATTATTTTTCAAAAATTGTAAAATGCATTAAAAGATTAAAAGGTAATTGAAAACAATTTTGTACAATCTCGACTATTTTATTTTATCGTTCTTGAAACTTCAATTACGATAGAAAAATAACAGAAAAGAGAGATTAAAAATGTTCGAAATATCAACAAATTCCTTAAAAACTTAAATGAAACTGATGCTTTGATAATCTTGAATGATCGAGTCCATTTTATCAATTCTAGGAACTAGAATTTCAAGAATTCTAAAAAAAAAAAACATTAGAGAAGAAAAAAATAGAGGACTTATCTTATCTATCTTTAAAGAATTTATAGATATCAAAAAATTAAATAAAGGATTAACTAAAAAAACAAAAACAATCTTTAACAGATTTTAAACAACTTATATTGTGCAAATTATAATCCTATCCCTCTTTCAGGCTAACAATTTCACAAGTTGTATCATATAGAAAACGAGGAATTACAAAACGACGTTTAAAGAATATTAAAAATCAAGGAAAAATGAAATTTAACGTCCTTGAAGCTTGGAAATCACACGTTAAAATCTGCGTAACTTCACGAATGGAACGCTACCAGTAGTGCTTTCACTTCTCTACCTCTCTCTGCTCAACTTTCGCGTAACGATCCTTCCTTTTTTCTTTCTTTTCCCTCATTTACTTGATTACGTGAACACGGTGAAATTTCGTCAAACATACATGTAAGTATACCAACCACTGAAAGAGCTTTTATGTTCCAGAGAGTTACAACGTTCCTTTTGTTTTCTCTCTTGTCCACGTGAAAAACAAACGAGACGATTTCAATGCAAAACGCGACACGAGGGTACAGAGTACGGATTTTGTTAATTGTGTAAAAATGTATTACGTATCGGTTTACCGTGTAAACTCGCGGGAACATCTTGCAAAATTTTCCTCCTTTCGAAGTTGGAGAGAAAAAAAATATTCTCGTATTTCCACTCGTGTATACGTTGTATCGACAGGGTTGAAAACAGGGTTATTATATCGATTTTTATTCGTAACCTTTTCACGCTACGTACGTATTCTTAGAATTGAATTTTTTTTTTTCACAGATTAAAACTCTTTTACTGAAAAAAAAAAAAAAAAAAAAAACATACGTTACAATGCGTATAAATAGAGATAATTTTATGTATGATTTTTATTATAGAGGACTTATAAACGTATGTTTAGTAATTAATTATACGTTCTCAAAATAGAAATGTTCTCAAACGTTACAAACGTTATATAAAATAAGAGGTCGATGTGAAATAAAAACGTATGTGTAATTTTCGATATTATATACAGATGGCGCAACGAGAGAATTAATCTATAATATAAATTCAAATTTAGAAATACGCGACAACCAATTGACGAAATTTATTTAGAAAATTTTTACTAATTTTTCTTTTTTTTTTTTTCAGATACAAAATGTTCAAGAAAAATCTGCAAAGTATATATTATATACGTTTCTATTCGAATTAATATTAATATAATCTACACACATATATATATATATACGCTAATTATCATCAGGATACGCGTATCCGCAATATGAAAAATAATAGAAGAACTGGAGAATTTTTATTCACTGTAAACGCCATCGTGTGGCAACAGATGTTTGCCAGGGCTATTTAAATAATAAGTCTTGTACGATTATACGATAAAACGTAACAAATATTATTCTATTTTTAACGTATTTGGTACGTAATAAAGTAAAACTTTTAATAAAGGAAATGAATTAAAAAACAAATTTTCCTTTCGATAGATGGATCGAATTATCGAAAGAAGAGAGCATCGAAAAAGGCAGGATTTATAAAGCGAGACATTTCAATTAAAAGTAACAAGTATCTCCATACTTTTTAAATAACAAAATGTACGTAGAAACGTTTTTGTTCTCGAATTGTTTCCACACGTGTGTCAATAATAAAATCGTGTCGCGCGTGCTCGTGTCGAGGGCACAATAAATCGATTAAATTTTCGCCTCAAAGTTAAAAGGGTTTCCACGTGAAATTAACACGCGGGGGTCCTTCGCGAGCGTCCCCGGCCCTGACTGCCAGCCGGGAATCCATGTCAAGGTAGTAGAAGCAACCACGAGCAAACTCGAGTACCGTCCACGCGCCTGCCTCCCTCAATCTGGATTACTGTTCATGGATTCGAACACGTCTTCGACCACTTGCTAAACACGCTTTTCACACTTTTCGTCAAACGTCACCAAGGATATATACAACGTGATAATTAAAGATTCTAAACGTATCCAGATAAATGCAATTTAACGTTGAATTTACGTGTGCATTTATCAATTTTAACGGGGTAACAAAAAATGTAAAGAATAGGATGACGATTTTTAAAATTTAAAACAATTTTCTTTTTTTAAAAATTGAATAAGAAAAACTCTAAATGATGATGAACACGAAGTGTATCCCTTTCTTATATTATAACATAATATCCATTATCATAGATGAATGATTTTAAGAAAATTCTGTTTTCGAAAGGACAGGAAAGTCCACTTTGAAACCGTGATGTAACATATTGCCATGATTAAGGAAAAAGCTTTACCCGATTAAGATCTAAAGCGATTTGAAAAAAAAAAAAAAAAAAATTTCAGAGGGGAACGATGGAGGAAAGATTTCTCGGCCTCTTTCTATATTTAGACCCTCGTCTCGATTTTAATTTCGGAATATCGTTTCGATGTCAAGAATTCGCGGCCGTCTCCCAAACCTCTAAATCGAGATATTTAACACAATCACTCTTTTACTCGATATTGTGCACCATATCGTATTTATCGTTCGAAGAACAAAAAAAAGAAAAAATTGATTGAAAAATTAATCTTTTCTCTCCTTCTACGAAAGAAACTTCCTCTTTGGAAAGGATTTTTTGACGGAACGAAAAAAAGAAAAAGAGAGAGATGCAGAAATGCGAAGCACAGGTGGAGGGAGAAAGACGAAGAGAGAACGAGAGAAAGAGAGACCTTTATAGAAAAGTAAAAGGTGAAACACACAGAAGTGCAAAAAAAAAAAAAAAAAACTACTTTTCACGTGCAAACGAGTATTTCGAGTTTTATCGTTAACTTTCAACGCGACACGGGGCTCTTGGTATTAAATAAATAAATAAAAAACGTATTATATCGACATTTTTCTTTTTTTTTTTTTAAATTATATTTCGTTAATATTACTCTCACGGGTTGAGAACGACTTTTTATTTATTAGTATCACTATGCCCCGCATTGCCCCGAACACGATTAATTCTTAACGTATTATCTAGCACGCTCGTATTGTCGTATCTACAATGCAAATGCAATGCAATTTTTTAAAACTAGAAATATAGTATCGAGGAATAATTAGAAATATAAATAACTTTAACTCGAGGAAATAATAATGGTAATTTGTAAATTTTAAAGAGAATAGTAAACGAGTAAAAATAGAAGTAGCGATAAGTAAATGAATATTGATCCGTGTAACGTAAGAAAAATAAATGTCCCGTTATCACGAAATTCGCGAGCGAGGAGGATACGAAACTACTACTATTATTACTATTACTACTACTATTATCACTATTGAAAGATACGCGAAAGTTACGAGAGCACGTGGAAACCAACACCACGATGCATCTTCAAAGGGTGCATGCGAAGTTGAAGGTGAAGGGTAGTCGGCCAACGCAGTCCCAACGCCATTAAAACACTTTCACAAAGGTGATTTATGATTCCATCGGTTGAAGTCTGTTCACCCTGTGCGGTGAACACACAAAATGGATAGCGCATTCACCGTTTAATATGCATATACGTATTGTTAGTAGGTTCCTTGACCACGCGTGTCTCTCCAACGAATCGAAGAGTCTGCAGGAAATCTATATCACTGTCATCGGATATCTTGGTGAATGTACAAGGTGATTAATTCATACGTAAAATTGCCAACAATACAACTTGGAAATATATCGGGTGTATCGGGTTTAAATTTATTTCTTATTATCTCGTTATTATGAATCGATTAGATTTTGGAAGAAAAAGGCTTTCTTAAATTAATATCTATCCTTGAATTACTTTTATTTAAATTCTAAAAAATATAAGAATTAATTTTTATTAATTAATTCAACAGATGGAATTTTTTAATCTTTTTGTTTTTCTATAAAAATATAGAATCGATCCTTTCCCCGCTGCTTTTAATTTGAAAGTAAAATTATTTTACGAATAATATTATTTCCCTATTTCTAAGAATAACATTATAATTGAGGCATTCGTTGTACAAGGCTTTATATAAAGATTTTCTTTTTTTTTTTCAGATTCGTGGCAATCTAAATAATTTTTCTTTTTTCTTCTTTTTCCTTCTTCTCGCAACATCAGTTGTTAAATAACAGATAACGTGTGTTGCTTATCATTTAGCAACTATTTCACGCGAAATGGTGCTTATCACCGTGTTGTGTATTTACAAATAGCCGAATCAAATTTTAGATACAGGATAGGAACGATAACAAGTTTGTCACACGTTTCAGTTCTCATGGTGAAACTTGTGAAGCATCATTGAAAATAAATTGAATCGCGCCAAAGGTTTTTATCACTCGAACGTAAGTGAATGGTGGCGATAATACTTTCTTTTTTTTTTTTTTTCCTTTACATTTCGAAATTTAATTTTCAGGTTGCACACTTATAAATAACTGAAATTCCTTTTTTTTGATAAAGAAGAAAAGGAATTGTATTACGTTTATTTCGCGTAGATATATTTTTTGTAACACTTGTTTTCTTAATCAAAATCGATGGTACAAATGTTCGTGATGAGAATGATCTTCTTCTTTTTATCTCTTTTTTTTTTATTCAGAATTTACAAATAGCAGTTTTAGATAAACCAAAAGAACGATTGCATATATTTATTTTACACACGTAACATGATAATCATTCTTTTTTTCTCTCTTTTTTCCTTCCTTTAAAAATTTATTCCAAAGTTTTAATACACTAATTTTCATTTGATCATTAAGATCAAAGATGATTTTAATTTAAAAAAGTGATACGTGTCCTTTTATTCTTACAATATTTCGTATATATATATATATATCTTTTCAAGTTCATTAAGGAAAAATGTGGAACATTCCTTTTTTTTCTTAATCACTGTATTTTTTTTTTTTTTTTTTTATTCAGAAACGATAATAAGACTCGTGATACGAATGACGTAAATATTCAAAGTGTTGTCATTTGAAATGAGAATGAAACGATGCAAGCTACACGTAAAAACATAATTACATTTTCATGTTCAATCAAAGATCAAAAAATAATAATAATATAACCGTAACATAATAATAAAACTCATTTATACTTATTTAAAAATATAATTAAAAAAATGCAATTCGTTTTGTAAGGAAAATTCCTAAATATGTTAGTTTTATAAAAATATAATTAGATTAGTTAAGAAATTAGTTTTAAAAATACAACTAGATTAATTATACTATTCAAATGAGTCATTTGCACGTAGAATATAATTAACCTAATTTTTTTTATCAATCATTTAAAGTCCATTCTAATTTCTATATATATATATATTTATATATATAAAAGACTTTTTGTTTTGTTTAATTTAACTTTTCAACTTTGTTTGTAATCAATAATTTAAAATGGAACGCAAAAATTTTTTTTATTTTCTAATCAACATAAATTTTCAAATCCTATTCAGAAATCAAAAGTTGAAGAATAATATCAAAAATTTTGGATAAATGATTAAAGATAAAGTAACAAACACGAGAAGAAAAAGAAATTATTCAAAGTTGAATACGAATAAATAAATAATTATTTTACCAGAACTAATATCTCAATAAGCTCGATTATTAGCGACGCTAATGGAAAAAAACCTGAAATCTGCCTTCTTTAACAAGACACAGTTGCAAGCATATTGCTGTGTATTATCATCGATCGTTTAATATCTGTTTAGAAATAAGCGTATCGTCCCGTTGTTCCTTGACAATAGTCGTCCCACTGTGCTGCATATAAATCAGAGAAGGGAATATATCGCGTGATATTAAGTGCACGTGTAGTTGGCTTTCGTCTGGCGAAAGAAAGTAGTCGATCCCGTTACGAAATAGCGAGTGAATGCCGACTATCTGGGTCAGACAAAAGCGGAACTTCCGCGACTATGCTCGAGGGCTGTCGAATCGTTTAACCTGGGAATTGTAAAAATTAATCGTATCAGTGTCGGTCTAAATATTTTCATTTTATTATATCTGTATTTTAAAAAATATTGATAAGAAATTCCAATTAAAATCCGATTAGAACCTTGGTTAGGTTAAAGTAATAGTATAGTTTAGAATAAAAGTATAGTTTAGAGAATATATAAATTGGATATTGAACAAATCAATTGCAAATAAATTGTAAAAAGGAAAGTTTTTTTCTCGTTGACGAAATTATCGACAAGAGATAAAAGAAGAACATTTTTCAACTTATCCTCCTCATCGTCGTTAAAACAACCCTTAATGTTTTCTTCGTATATATATTTCAATAAAGTTTCGAAAAAAAAAATATGAATTTTGTATATTTTTATAATAGAATAAATTTCCTTATTAATTTGCACCGTTTTGAGTGAATAAAAATCAAGAGACAGATTGTAAAATATCGAAAGGATTAATTTTATAGATATTTTTAATAATATAAATATACTTTTAATCTTTGTCCTATATATTGGCAAGAGAATTTCTATTTATATTGTATAGGTAATTATCCTTTTTAGAAACAATTATTGCAGAAATATCGTATTGTTCGATCGTTTGGCCTGCAACTGGCTGTGGTTTTACGACAAACGAAGGTTTTTCGACAATTTTTAAGAGGCCGGAACATAAAATGGCCGTGTACGCTCTGCTTGCAGTGGCACAACCGTTATTTGATACGGTACTGTGCCTTACGTTACACGCATTCCTCCGTTTGCCTCGTCGTCGCCAGGTAAATCGTGCACGTGTAACTCCACACGTGCCTCCTCCAGTGGTGTTTCAACATACGCACGCAACTATTACCTTGATTAATTAAAATAAGATAATGAAAATGTAATGACTGATCGGAACACGCCGATAAAAGTTATTTTGCAAACCTTTAACGATTTTCTTAGAAAGAGAAAATAATATGAATAATATCATGGTGTAGGTTACGATCGATATTTAAATAAAAAGGATACATACGCAATGTATTATTTTAATTATTATTATTCATTCCGTTGAAAGATGCTTTAGAAATTTAAAAAAAAAAGGGAGAGAGAGAGAGAGATTGGTTGGAAATGAAAACTAAGTAGGTCACCACGGTGGCCACGCGACACGAAACGTACCGGTAACATTATGAAATAGTCTCCAATATTAATGAAATCGACCGTGAGTCACCAATGACCTACACGGCAAAAATATTTTTCCATTCTTATGTAGTAGAATATTTATAATTAAAACTCAATAATAAAAATGAAAATATATATATAAAAAAAAAAAAAAATCTAGGATAAAACTTCTCATCGACTGTTTAAACAATAAATTTAATATCTCGTTTCATATTTCAATCATAGTTTCATCATTGATGTCACCAATAAATTTCGCGACAGAAGAAATATCCATTTTTATAAAATATTTTTTAATAATACGAAAAAAAAAATAGAAAAAAAAATTGAAGAAAATAATAAAAAGATGTTTTTACGACATGAACATTTTCAAATAATTATAGTAAAAATTTTCGAAAACAAACAATATATCATTCAATAGAAGATTATTCTCCTCTTTAATAATCTCCCCCCTTCCCTCTCCCCGCCACCAATTCTATTACCATCGTTCATGCCACTAACAACTCAGTCGATAATAATACTTCTATTCCCTAGCAATATATCTTTCCCAACGATTAAAAATATTGAATAAACACTTTTTCGCATCCCCCCCCCCTCGTTAGAACGATCGATATATACATGGTAACAAATTCCAAATACCAATCTGTGTTTTCATCTTTCTTTCGATAAAAACCCTTTCACATACGCTTCGACGACATAGAAAAAAAAAAAAAAAAAAAAAAGAAAGAAAGGAAGGAAGAAACGCGGGAAAAACGTAATAGACTCGGTGTATAAAACTCTGGTCTGATATTTTACAGGGGATCGGGGATGGCGTCGATGCCTACACGGACGCGCAACTGGTACACGATACGACAAAGAAGCTTTTCGACATGTAATTCCCCGTAAGCGAGCACGCTCTCAACGGGGAAAACACACCGAAGGATAAATAACTCGTTCCAAGGCAAGTTCGCCGCCGAGTCTAAATATAAATTCGCAACAAATCAATATCAACGCACACGGACGCCACACTGTGGATTCGATGGGCATTTAGCGGATATGCAGACATATTCTCAAATGCACACGTTCAGGGAACGTGATCGCGGAGAATCTTTTTCCGCAACCGTTGCACGGACTCTTCGACGGGAGTCTTTTTTGTGGAATCGCTTAAGGTATAATTACGAGGAGGTTAAAACGAATGGGAATGGATGTAATACGATATCTGACTTACTGACGCCAAGGGTTTGGACCTTTTACCATTTTCTTTTTTTCTTTCAAATTTAATTCCGTATCCTTTTTTTTTTTTTTTTTTTCTTTTATACAACGAAAGTTGGATACAATACGATAACTTTAGTTTAAATGTAAGTTGTAAGATAATATTTATATAATGTTAATGATGAAAAAATATGGATATGTGATTACGCTTGTATAATATTTTTGTTGAAAATTCTTGCAGAAAATTATTTTGAGATTCTCGACATTTTTGTTATAACTTATAAAAGAATAAAAACAACAGATGAGCTTGTTTTATGAGAGAGAGGAGAATATTCTTTTCGAATCTCTGATTAAGATTAGATAAGATCGATGAATTAAAAATGTGAAACACGAATTCCTTAAAATTTTTGCATTTTTTGAAAAGGTTAATGCAATATATATATATATAAATAGTTATAATCGTTTACTAATTCATACATTCGGATTATTAATTACACGAATATCAGATATATTATATATGAATTTTATCTTTTCAGACAACAACAAGTAGCAATATTGCATACATTTTATAGACCGTTGATTCGCAAAAAATATTATTCCTTCTCTTTTCAAATTTCCCATCCTTTCTACAGAATGGCGACGAAAGTATCTACTGATCTTAAATATTTGTGCAGCTGTATAAATATTTTCACTACTTGCAAAAACACGAAAGTACAACCAAAGCGATTTCTTTTTCTTTCTTTTTTTTTTTTTTTTTTTTTTTTTTTTTTTTAAGCGACTCGTTAAAAATTGATACGAGGATCAGAAGATTGGAAGAGAACGTCACGTAAACCATAAAAGTTGCTAAACAAACGAAAAATAAAGTAACTCGTCGATAGGTCGGTTTTAATCAAGTTTTGCGCGCGTAAAAAGCGGCTGAAAGAGGGGGGAATGAGGGGCAAAAAAAAAAAAAAAAAAGAGAACGATCGTGCAAACATTTATCGTAATAATCGTCTTCGATGGCCATTTACTATTGCCGCGTAAACATGTTCATGCAGATTCGCTTGCGCAAAAACCAGATTACGTAAGATCGTTTGCATTAAAGAATTTATTGTTGCCGTTTTGTACTGACGAATCGAATCGTAGAACAATCGATCGAAAAGGGAATATTTTCGTATCCTTATCCTTGTTTTAAACTCGCCAATATAAGATTCTCTTTCTCTCTCTTTCTCTCTTTCACAATTTGATTTGATTGTTTTGCTTTCAAAAATATATAACTTTTCAAAAATTTTGTTTATTTTGATACAAAGATCTCCAATATTGAATTTTCTACGTCTGAAAATTTATTTCTTTACGCGAAAAATATGATCCCTGTCCTAATTTACGCGTTTCAATTTGTTTTCGGGTATCTTTTGAGCAAAGAGCAACAAAAAGTTTTTTAAATTAAATTCTCGAACTGCATATTTTTTCTTACTTACTCTGAAATTTATATCGATAGAATCGTAATTCTAGAAAAAAATCATCGATCAATATTAATATTTTTCGCGTATATTTTATGTATTTTCATATACGTTTCAAAATTCTTTTTAATCGAGTAAAAGAATTTTTCACTCTTTATTTATTCGATATTGATCACAAACTAGTTTTTCTTATTTCTGAAAAAGATTCCTTATTGAAGATTGGAAAGATATGTCGTAAATTAAAAAGTTGAAAAGTATAATAAATTTTCAGGAAAGAGCAGCAACGTAACGTCGTAGATTTCATAAAAGATTCATTATTGAAAATTGGAAAGATATAAGTAAATTAAAATATAGATCTACGATATTTCGTCCTTCTTTTTTTTTCTCGAAAATTTACGAGCTTGTATTAAAGAAACTGAAAAAAAAAAAAAGAAAAAGAAAAGAATATCCTCAACAAAAATTATAAATCAAGTTTCCACGAAACAAGATGAATCACATTAATCAAGATTTCACTGCAAGTGAGTTCATGTTCATGTTCCTTGAATTCAAATACGCAAGCATTGGCTGAATGACAAAAATGGCAATTAAAAAACAGACGATCAACGAATCTTTCGAATAGATAAATTTTATCTTTATCTAAAAAAAAAAAAAAACATCTCACGCCAGACCAGTGACTTATTTTTGACCAAATAATTACCACCCGATCAATCAAGTCACTTTTGAAGCAACTATCATATTTCCAGCCAATTATTTCGATTACAAATTTTGATTACGACAAATAAGAGGATTTGCACATCATGGAAAATGTCGGGCAAGGAGGATGCAATAGCCGAATTAAAAACGAAAGTCGAGAGCAGATCGAAGATCTTTAACCCATTAGTGTTAGGCGTAGCGGCTCCAACTGATTAATATTGCCCGAGACTTCCGTCTTGCCCTTTTGGAAGTATTCCAACGTTGCGCCAGCACTGCAGCTAAAGTTCATCGTGGATTTAACGGAAGCATTGATACCGAACACTACACTTGGTGTATCCTTACAAGCATACTCGATCCATCTGCAATGCTGGTGAAATGTTGGAACACTTTACTCGATACCACTAACATCGTATCAATTTTTACGGCGTTTGAACGAGCGGTGGAGAAATCCATTACTCATAAATGTATTATCAAAAAATTCTCCCCTCGCTAACTCTAGCCCTCTGTTCGTCATCCAACAAATAAACTCTCCATTAAAAAAAATAAATTCATATTGAAAGGAAAATTCATCCTATAACAATAATAAAAATTCTCAAATTTCCAGAACGATTCCAAATGGCAAACCGCGACAATCCCTTGGTTCCAACCAAGTCATCGTGGTACACCAAATACTTGGTGTAAAACTTCAAAGGGGAAGAGGAACTGTTTCACCAGAAATCATGAAACAGACTCTGAAGAAACTGGGTCGCTGAAGCGTCTAATAGTCAGAGATCTCGTTCACCAAGGAACTGGGAATCTTCATTAAATATATCTAAGACCTAGACACGAGGGACAGCCTTGATAATCTCTATCTCGCGATCGATAATTAATATTTTCCTCGATTGTTTCGAGTAATGGTCCATCACCAGAAAAGATTAATCAGATTAATCAATAAAACATGGATTCCCTCGTAAGAACATTTTTCGATTATTATTCTCTTTTTCCAGAACGATTTAGCCTCGTTTACATTTCAATAACAACGAGAGAATTAAAAATTTGTCCAGAAAAAAAAAAAAAAAAAAAAAGACGAGCGAAATTGATTTGCCTCCGAATCTCTTTCCACTGCCAGAGGCTAATCATATTCTTCGATAATATTTGCAATTTTTAAAACGAGACACTTGTGTGAAAACAAGGAATCATCGATCTCAGCGCGAGGAAGAGGAGATGGAAGTGTTATCGAAAAGGCAAAAAGCTTTCGTCCAAGATTAGTGAATGTTACACAACGTCCACGATCAATCGTTCTTCTACGTGCACGTGTACCCGCCACGGCTCTGCTCTCCTACATATTCCTTTTCTTTTTTTTTCTTTTTCTTCCTTCTTTTTTTTTTTTTTTTTTTAATGTGTACATCCAATACGAAACAGTCGACGAATAATTTACCAAGTATAATTGCAACTGGGTGTGCAAGCTAATTCTGCGATATAATGCTCGCGTATGTATTACATGTATGCCTAACAGGTGTGTATAACTGTCATCTCTGGCCACCGGTCGATCACGGACATTATATATTTTATGAAGATTAAAAAGAATTTTATGGATATTATGAAGGGGAGAGGGGGGAAAAAGCAAAAATGTGAGAACGTCCGGAGAAAAGAGTCTTGAGAACAAGTCAATCAAGGTCAAATAGAGGTCGATGTGATCCATTCGTTCCTCGATCACTCTTCAGTTTTCTACTATCCCCTTTTTTGCAATTATTTCTGTAAGTATTGAGATTAATCTCAATCCATTTCCTCTGCTCAAGTTTTCCGTTTTTTTTTTTTTTTAGAATCAAATACAACACGAATGTACACGAATATAAATTAAAAGTATAAGGGATTATTGTATGCGTAAAAAATGAAAATGAAAATTTGGAATAAAATTCGTTTGTCCGAGAATACAAAAAATTGCGAAATAATGAAGTGAACTTGATTCATTCTCAACTACTGATACATGTCGTATCGTTAATATGATCGCGAAATAAATAATTCTGAATAATTCAAAGACTGATTAGGACTTATTATCTTCTCTCTCTCTCTCTCTCTCTCTCTGGGAATAACAACGAGGTTGAATCGAGTAATAAGAAAACACGAAATCATTTTATAATATATGAATGAAAATGGAAGAAAGAAAAAGATATATGTATGTATATATATATAGAAAGAGAGAGAAAGAGAGAGAGAGAGAGAACGGAAAATCGACAGATTCGCGATCGTTATTTCATCTTTTCCAGTTGTCCAGACTTGACCATTCGATACGTTATACGTTCCAGCCCGTAGTCCAATATATTTCCACCGCAAACAGCAGCATTGTCGGCCACCATTACCCGGAAATATCTATAAATTTATTACGAGACCCGTGGAAATGCATCCACATCGCGGCTACGTTTTGCCGAACAAAGCAGAGAGTTATTTATCACTCTCGATTCAAGAGAATTGCGATTCTTGGATTCACTTGCTATCTTCGCGATGAGAATATCTTTTCATAATTTTATAAGAATGGAATGAAATGAAATTTTATTTGTTGTTAATCGTTAATTCGCGTATACTCTTGGATACTTTGGATACTTTTGGATATTTTTTAAATATCTCAATTGTTGTTGTTTCATCTTTATTATTTAAAAAGTAATTGAATAGAAATGTTAATAAATTGGTTATCTGATTATTACCCTAGCAATTTTTTCAGAATTTTCGAAGAGACTCGAGAAATTTTTAGGTTAGGTTTATCAAACTCTCAATCGTGTAATAAAACTGGTATAGTAATTATAAAATATTATTATATAAATAATATATTGTGTAATAATAAATATTTTGAGTTTTCTAGAAATATAATTTCGACACACTTGAAGTTCGAAATTGGCGGGAAATTAGTAGTTGAATGATGATAGAA